ATCCAACATATTTAGAGATTACTGCAAAAACCATGGAGTGAAGATTGTGCATGTAACCGCGGGCGTGCCAAGAGGCAACGGCCAGGTAGAGAGGCTAAATTCTACGATCATATCTGTCTTAACGAAACTCTGTGTAGACAAAACGGATAAATGGTTTCAGCAGGTGCCAGTGTTACAGAGAGTATTAAATAACACGTTTCATCGAGCTATTCAATCAAGTCCTTTTGAGTTACTCGTTGGAGTAAAGATGAGAGCTGAAGAAGATTGGATTGAAAGCTACATTGCGAATAGAGAAGAAGCTCGTGAAAACGTAAAACAGGCAATATGCAAGATTCAAAATGAAAACAGAGACCAATTCAACCGAGAGCGTAAAGCCGTAAAGCTTTATAAACTAAACGATCTTGTAGCTATCGAACGTACACAGTTCGGAGTCGGGCTCAAAATCAAACCGAAGTTTCTAGGCCCTTACAGAGTCACAGTTGTAAAAGGCTTTGATCGTTACCCAGTTGAGAAGGTAGGTGAGGGAGACGGGCCTTCTTCAACCACCACCAGTGCAGATAAGATGAAAGCGTGGGTGCGAGAAGGCGAACTATCCGACTTAGATGAAGATGAACATATCAGTGATGCAGAATGGTCGAGTGTGGGAATGTGCAGTAACGCAGAATGATATCGATGGCAGGCAGTCGAACAACTGCCGTGAACGTAGACGCAAGTTCCGCTCTTGATATAGCCGTGGGCAACCAATCAACAGTTAGCTATCTTCCCTTTTCATTTAATTATACTTACTTAAAGTAACCATTGCTACAATTATTATTGCTTGAATTTTAATAACTATGCAACTGAATTTTAACTACGATAAATTTTAACAACACAACTAAATAAACATTCATATTAAAAATAATTAAAAAACCACATACATATATATGTATATATATCTTGAAAATAGGATCAAGTACGATTTCGGGGTTTGAAAATTTGGAATCTGGAGATTATATGGGATAATTCTACATCTTCACTTCAAAAAATATTCCGACGAATTGATAACCTTCTCCTTTTTGTGAAGTCGGTTAAAAAGGAAAAAAATTCCTGAAGTTACACTTCAAGAAATATTCCGACGAAATGATAACCTTCTCCTTTTTGTGAAGTCGGTTAAAAAGGAAAAAAAATCCTGCTACGTTTTATATTTTTATCTTAAAGAGTTAGAAAATGTCAAATATCTAACAATTAGAGCCAATACACACACACATGCTAAGTTTTCGGCTCCAGCTGCTGACGTCTCCAATGATGCTCTCCCACCTGCTTCTATTGCGCCTACTGCTGAGGTTAATAATGCACACAAAAAACAAGTGCGTGTTTTCGGTACAAATGCATGTAATGATTTGGACGTTGCGGTCCGGCATAAATGGTTGCATTTAGATTCTTTCTCGCCTTCCGTATCTGAGGATAACATTAAAGATTATGTTTTTAAACAAACTGGTTTAGATAAAAATTTGTTATCCTGCTTCAAACTGGTTAAGAAAAATGTCCCAGTATCAACTATTAAGAGAGTTAATTTTAAGTTGGGAGTTCCGGAATCCTCGTACGCGAAGTTGCTGAGCTCGGAAATTTTGCCTACAAATGTCTCGGTCAAGCCTTTTCAGTTTTTTCTAAAGGATCAACAACAGCCACCTCGGACATAGTAACGACCTTGGACCCTCCTAGCCGTGGTCTCAAGGTGTACTTTCAAAACTTATCCGGCATGCGAACCAAGGCTGATATTGTGCATTCTTTTAGTGCGCAAATGGATTACGACATCTTTGTTTTTGTTGAGACGTGGTTGAATGCAAGTTTTTTTGACAGTGAGTTCTTCGACTCGAATCTTTTTAATGTATTTCGTAAAGACAGAGATGCTGCAAAAGCGGGTTGCCTTCGTGGTGGTGGGGTTCTAATTGCTGTCAAGCATCAACTCCGTGCACTCCTGTTTCCACTCAATAATGATGACTCTCTGCTCGATCAAATTTGTGTTTGTATAAGTTGTCCCTCCGCGCAAGATTCCATTTACCTACTCGCTTCGTATATACCGCCTGATAGTTCATTTGAGTTGTACAAAGCTCATGCTGACAACGTGGCATCTCTAGTTTTAAATAACCTAAATGATAATCATTTATGTGTGCTAGGTGATTTCAAACTTATGCAAGATAAATTGGTCTGCTAGTATTTCTAATTATAGTCTTACACCAACTAACGTGTCTGCAAATCATGAATTATATTTTATTGATAATATTCTTAGTCTTAATTTATGTCAAGTTAATAATTTCTCATATTTGTAAGTGATAACCTAAGCTACAAAGTTAGTGAATGTTTGAATCCAGTAACTCCTAAAGATAAGCATCATTTACCTTTAGTTGTAAAGCTCGATTTTTACTGTTTTGCTTCAGTACCTTCTGATGACATATTATCTTTTAATTATGCATTATGCGAATTTTCTAGCTTTAATGAATTACTAGTCGATATTAATTGGGATAATTTATTTGCAGATCTTGATACATTTAGCAGTTTCACTACTTTTAAATCCATTTTGTGTAAACTCTGCTTGGATAATATTCCGGTTAGAAATAAAAAACCCTATAGATTACCCTGGTATTCTAAGGATTTAAAAAAGCTTAAAAATCTTAAAAACAATTATTTTAAGAAGTTTAAATCTACGAGGAACCATTCGTTTCTCGTTAAATATAAACGAGCTTCAAAAAAATTCAACTACTTAAATAAATCTCTTTATAATAACTACATTTGTAGCATGGAGTTGAACATTAAATCGAATCCAAAGACTTTCTGGAATTACATAAAATCCAAAAGGAGCTGCGCTAGTGTTCCCACCGGCGTATTTTTGGATAATAATTATGCGCAAACCTCAAGTGAAGCGGCAAATTTATTTGCTGAGTTTTTTAAATCCAATTTTATTGATGAAGACCATGATCAGCCATGCGACTTTTCCTCTAATCTAGACTACTCTTTGGACCTCGGGGCTCTATGCCTTTCATCTGAGGATATTAGTAACGCTTTGGTTAAATTGAAATCTTCCTTCCAAACTGATGTCGATGGTCTTTCAGCAGTTCTAATAAAAAATTGTCCTGCTTTGGTCTATCCTCTGAAAGTAATTTTTAACAAATCTTTATCGTCGGGGAGTTTCATTGACGCATGGAAGCTCACTTCCATAACGCCCATCTTTAAGAGTGGCAATAAAAATGACGTAAGGAATTATAGGCCCATTTCTAAGCTCTCGACTATCTCAAAAATATTTGAACACGCAATCAATGCAAAGTTGAGCTTTGCGGTTAAATCTTTAATTTGCCCGAATCAGCATGGGTTTGTCGCCGATAGATCTACAGTATCGAATCTAGCTGTTTTCAGTGAATACTGCATTGAGTCTTTCTCAGCTGGTTTTCAGGTCGACTGCATTTACACCGACTTTTCGAAGGCTTTCGATAAAGTCTCTCACAGAGTCTTAATTAAAAAACTTGGTTGTCTTGGTGTTCACTCTGCTTTTCTGGAATGGATAAACTCTTACTTATGCAATAGACGTTGTGTTGTTACATTTGATGGTATTTCATCTACCCCCTTTGTTGCCTCCTCTGGAGTCCCACAAGGAAGTGTCTTGGGACCACTCCTATCTGTACTTTTTATTAATGATATCACAAGCTGCTTTTCATTTGCCAAATGTTTGCTTTATGCTGCTGATTTTCTCAGCGATTAAGACCCCAGAAGATGCCATTATGCTTCAAACTGATATTGATAGGCTTTACTTGTGGTGCCAGAAGTCACGGCTCTCACTGAACCTGTCTAAGTGCTTTCAAATGACTTACTCGAAAATATCCAACATTATACCTGCTACGTACAATATATCGACTTGTGACCTTCAGTGAGTTAGTGAGATTAAGGACCTTGGGGTCATTTTTGATAATAAATTCTCTTTTAATAACCACATAAATTATATCACTTCCAAATCCTTCTCCATGTTGGGTTTCTTAAGACGGAATTCCTCTAAGTTCTCTGATCCCTATACAATCAAGTTACGGTATGTATCGTTTGTTAGGTCACACTTAGAATATGCTGCTTTTGTTTGGAGACCAAGTAGCCAGCAAGCTATCAATAGAATAGAACGTGTACAAAAAATTTTTCTTAAGTTTGTACTTCGGTCTTTGAACTTTGTGGATCCCATACCATCCTATTCTGCTCGTCTCATGCTTATAAGTGTCAAGTCCTTAGAAATTCGTAGGTCTATACTGTGCCTGTCCTTTACTCGTAATATCATAACTGGAGTCATTCATGGTCCTTACTTGTTGGAAAGGATTCGATTTAATGTTCCCCAGCGATCTCTTCGGAACTTCTACCCTTTTTATGTGGATAACTATAAAACTAAGTACGCCCCCATTACTCGCGCTTTACGTGAATTGAATTCCCTTAATAGTAATGCTGATCTGGATTTTTCACTTTCAAGGATTGCTTTTTTGAATCTTTTGAACTCTACATTATAGTTTTTTAATGAAATATATTTTAAATGTATATTAATAGTCTGTACTAAGTTACTTTTGTAAATAGTCTGTAAGGATTGAAATTCATAGACTTAAATAAATAAAATAAAAAATACACAGGTCCATAGAGAGAAAATACGGGCCCGGGGGGAAAACACCCCCGACCCCCCACCCTCTATTCGGGCCTGCCAATTCAATAATAAAAAGGTCAGATTCTATTTCTACGTACAAATTCTCTAAGAGCCAGTGATCATTGATTATGCCGCTTGAGGTTGTTAAGGAATTCTTTGCAAAATGAACATATGTTTGCATTTCCATGTGTCATATAATTTTTTAATATTTTCTAGAATATGCATATTATTGGTTTGCATGCAATTATAAATTTAAAGCGTAAATGAGATTGATACAAATATTAATAACCGAAAACATGAATCATAATTCGTTTTTGAAAAAAGAAAGCGATAAAAATGTATTGGCAGAAGATCTAACCTTTCGCATCGTAGTATTGGGCTTCAGTAATTTTATCTCTAATATCGGCCTCAGCTGTAAAGGTAACAAAGAAATTAATAAAATCATTGTTATATTATATCGTCCGACAAAATTAATCCCATGAAAAATTAGGCATTTTCGGAAAAAAGAGACAAAAATGTGCCGTATTTTGGAGTTTTTCTAGATCAAATTATTTACTTTCCGAAAATTAATTAATTAATTTAATTTTTTCATGGGTGCAAAATCGTGTCGGATGGTGGTTTAAAACAATTTCATTTTTTTTTTAAGAAAACTATTTGCTTAATAACGCACATACATATATGATGTACTTATAAAAGTAGACCATAAAATTAAAATTATTTTTATATTCGTTCCAACCTAAGTTGGTGTCACAGTGCATCAAAAATAAAAACACGGAATACACCCGTATTAACTTAGTGTAGGTTGAGGTAGGGTTGAGTACAGCATCAAAATAGGTTTCTTATACGTACATATGTAGTTCCCGAGTCCTCCGTCTTTTAAACCCCATGTTTTTGGTATTAAACTTAATAATTTCTAATCCGATTTTAAAAATGAAATATGTTTTCGAAAGAGAATTCATAGACCTTTAAGCATATAAGTCAATTGTTAGACTTTGATTTTGGAGTTTTCATTGGATAAGTTTGAAAAAAGCCCATATTTTTCTTAATTTTTTCAACTTCGACCATTGTTTATTAGAAACATTTCAATTAAAGTTGTCTAATGTGCTATTGTTTTAAGATCTAAGATAAAATTTTTTTAAATCAGTAATTCTTTTCTTAAATACGGCTTTAAAGTTATACATTAATGGACTTTCAGATGTTTAACCCAGAGTTCCTAAAGAATTCCTCAATATTTACTTAAAATTTATATTTACAATGGATGTTTAACAAAAAATTGGTTTCAATTGGGTTTCATAAAATTTTTTTTAATTCGTCGTGGCGCCGCCTACTTATTTGCAATAAATATCTCGGAAACCACTCCACCGATCTGTACCAAAATTGACATACACATTACACTTGGTGACCTTAACTTAACCACGCACTTTTCGGAACTATAAGAATAGCATTTTCCTGCTGTACTTGACCCTACCTACGACCTTCAATATGTGCTGTTTCGAATGTATTACGTGTTCGTTTTCATCCGGAGACTTGGTTTTTAATATGTACGTAAACTATACATTAACTATTTGAATACTGTTTCCCACCTAGTATACAAGTGCCAATTTTGTGACCAAAGCTCATGAAAAAATTCCTAACTAAATAAATGCTGTGCATTAAATAAATATGTTTCTATAAAAAAAGAATACAATTGTATAAAACCTAATGAAAATAAATTGGGAATACAGAAATATTGCTGCTGTTAAAAATAGACATTTCCAGGACAAGGCGCCACAGTAACTTTATTTGATGTTAGCTAATGCCCAGTGTGATTTTCCACGCATAACTCAAGTAAATTCATTTTTATTATTCTTCTTGATTGGCGTTATAACCGCCTAAGCGATTTTGGCCGAGTCCAACAAAGCACGTCAGTCGTTTTTCTTTCCTACATCTGATCTTTCAATCTCATAGGAGGCCTGCCTTTTCCTCTGTTACTCTGTATCGCTGCCCGCGTTGGGTACTTTTAGAGCGGGAGCGCCTCTGTCCATTCGTACATGACTTAGCCAGCGTAGCTGCCAAGAATGATAGAATACAAGATTGCGCCGATTGCAGCAGAATTCGTGAGAGTAATTTTAGCGTGACGTCATCGTAGAGTTGACAACTGAGAGCGGCGAGAATGAGGGCGACTAGTGATGTGCTGAATTGTCCCCAATACTCGGTACCCAATACTTAAAAAAGATTTCGCTACCCTATACTTCCTTTTCGGTATCCGATACCGATTATTTACATTAAACCCTCGCCATTATATGCATTTCAGGTTTAGAAAAAACGTTCATTACTAATTTATATGATATCGGCTAAAACACTTGAACTTATCGCCACAGAAAAATATTATTTTATCAGTTTTAACCTTAGTCGGTCCAAGGTTCAAGAAAAATACTTTGACGGATGAAGACGCCTTTCAGGGGAGAGATTCTGTAGCCAGTTAGCGACAAGTTTCGGATCGATATCTCACTTGTTGACTTACAAATATTTGATATCACACGTCGACAAAACCGATACCATTCGAAAATTGTCGTTAACTGGTTACAGAATCTGTCCCAGGCCTACAAAAATGATATCGTCCGATTCAGCTGGAACAAAAATGCTTCAAACAAGTAAGGGTTTCTCTGTATTATGGCATCGAACCGACATATATACATCTTTCATTTGAATCAGTAAAAAAGCTCTATTGGCTCTTACATTCGGGTTTGGTTAGGCGTTTTTTCCATATTTTTGGCCTATGTGCGCTTTTATTCGAAACCTAAATGTTTCGGTACCGAGTATCGAGAGTATTGGGTACTTAAAAGTATTGACTCAGCACATCACTACTGCTGTCTTCTCTACTATGACGTCACCAAAACAGCTGATTCTGTCAAAATCACTGAGAGCCGAGTAGCGGTATCGTCATCGGCGCCACCTCTGTATTGTGGCGAATACTGCGGCAACACAAAGCGAACAACGAGAAATAGGCAGAATGTTCGAAGAATGACGTAGAATGTTCCACAAAGAGAAACGTCAAGTTGGATGAACACTGCGAACAGCGAGAGAAAGAGAATG